AACACTCGGACTGCCGCATACATTGGGGTGGTTGACCTGGGGTCTTTCTGGATCGGCATCGATTTCCAGTCCCAGACTGGTCGTGTCCTAGGTCGTGTCTGGGTGCCATTGACTACCATGCCGGGTGTCCGTGGGCCGGGTCAACGGGCGACTGGCGTCCGCCACGGACGAGGTCCCACCATCTGGGACCGTCCGCCGCCTCCGCGACCAAAAAGCATCCCAAATGGCGGGACCTCGTGGGACTAGTAGATGTGGGATACCAAGCTTAAGGGGACAATGAGATAGGATAACATACAAATAGTAATGATATCATAGGATGACTGTAATGACTGTAATGACTGGATGAGATAGGAAGCTACATTCATTACAGTCATTCACTGCTCCCATTTTCATCTCGTAGCATCACTCTGCCAGTCCCGTGGAGTTGGAGAATTGATGAACACATCCCAGGCATCAAACTTGAGTTGATGATAGCTCCACGAAAAACCATCCCTAGGGCTCCAGTTGGACCTTCTTAGAAGGTGGGATTGGGGTGGGTGCCAGGAGGGTCCAGTGATACCTTCGTTTCGGAGGTACGACTGGAGCCCTAGGGCATGGTTTTTCGTGGCAGGTTGTGGAATCCGAACATCCAACCGTGGCTGGCCATCCCAGTCAACCGCTCCGCTCGGATCCGCATCCGCTCCGCATCCCTCCGCGGTTCGGGCGCGGCCCGCTGAGTGCCCTCCCAAGGGTTCCCGGACACGTTGGAGACGTCGTCCTTCTTCGCATTCTCCCGGGCCTTCGCCAGCATCTCCGGCGTCCTCGGAGCGGGAGACCGGCTGAGACCAGCCCGTCCTGAGCGTTGGTTTCCCGCTCGCCGATAGCTGAGAGAGAGAGAGAGGGAGAGATTCTGACTTGTGAGGGACATCTAGCAGATCTTTCAAAATGAGACTGGGCCCAGCTTCATCTTACTTACCTTGAGAATCAAACACTAAAAACAAACATGTGGGTTCTGAAGAAGGATACTGGATGATACTGGTCTGGTATCTTGGTGAAAGGCAGAGAGTCTTACAAGACACGTGTCGTCGCTCACAAGGCAAGGGGCTTGAGCCTAACGGATAGCCAGAACTTGGTGACGGTCAAAGGCTACATGTGATGTGTTACCGCTTCTTTCGACCATCAGCAACTACCCCACGCGCTGTCGCGCAGTGCAGGTTGCATCTATCAAGAAGTCAACGGGGCACGTTCAGGTGCCGCCGTTCGATCGCAGAGTGGCCAAACCCCTGCAGGGACCCGTTCGATCCAGACGTCTGGTCCAAGGAGTTTCCGACCTCACCGTTTTCAGATGCTTTCAGTGTCCGCGTTGATGCCCTTTTGTGAACCAAGGGGGCGATTTAGTACCATACCTACTGGTTCATCAATTGGGAGTATGGTCTATCAGCCAGGCTTTTTTGGAGCAAGGACGGGACCAAAGAGTTCACGAACGGCGTGCATGTGAGACATCACATGACCAGCTCTCCATCGTCCGGCTTCTGGACGCCTCTTTCCCTGCCTGTTGAGGTGATCAGACGCACCGAGGCCCGATCGCATCGGACGCAACCCCACGATCGATGTCCGTCCGACCACGTGGACGTGTTCACTGAAAAATCCCCCTGGTGTCACATGGAGTTGGGTGGTGTTGAGCCCCATCCAGTGTGTGGAGCATGCTGGATGTGACAGGGGCACCCTTATCCTCCAGTAAGCACACCGACATGGAACTTCTGGCCATTTTTCTCATGTGTGAAAAGATCACAAACAAGTGGAACATGGCCTCTGGAAGACCAACAAAAACACGTTCCTCTACAAACTGGCTTCATTCCACTTCCATGTGGATGGAGGGTCACCAGAACCTCCTCCCTCCTCCGGCTGAACCAGCTCCTCCAACCCGTCCGAGGGCGGCGCATGTCCACGCCGATCACACGCCCGCTGGGGCCCACCTACCGCGCCGATTCCGCTGCTTGACGGGTCGGTAAGACGCGAAGGGGTCGGAGGCTCCGGCGGATCCTGCGTTAGGGTCCCAGTCCACCTGGCCATTCCGGGGTGTGGGTCAAAACCTGGACGTTCTGGTTGACCCCTGGTCAACAGGAACAGATTCCTCTATATTGGGATTTTTAGGGCTCCAAGTACCTCCGCATCAAGCATTTGGACCCTCCTGCCACCCACTCCAAATATCAAGGTGCCTGAAGCCCTAATAGTAGGAATCCTCACCACCTTGGCACCCCCGTACCAGCGCCGGTGCCGGCCCTGCTCACCTGCTTGCCGGCCAGGAAGCAGTCGATGCCTGCGCCACTGCCCAGGTCCAGCACGACCTCGCGCTGAGCTTCGTCGACCCGCCGAGCTTCGTCGATTGACGCGTCCGCCATCGCGGGTTTTTGTCCGGCCCTATATAGAAACATTGGTTTGTGGAGGAAGCAGGCCCCTTGCTTCGCGCCAACCCCTACACCCCTGCCATGGAGAGGCCATCAGGGTGGGAATAGTGGAAACCTCTCAAGATGAAGAAGGGTGACATTCCCTGAAATCATCCATGGTGGAAGTGGAGAAGATTGCAGTGGTGTGGCAAAATCCCAACACCAAGAAAAAATACGGATCATGATTTTGGATTGGCTCATATTCTATCTACAATGCTTGGATTAATCATGCATGGAAGTGGAAATCACCAAATGTTCTGTAGACAAAACTTGTCTTCCAAGGTGGCCATGTCATCCATGTAACCATGATGATCTCAGGGAGTGTAACCCACCCGGGGTCATCAAGGTGACACAAATAAGCCTTTTGTGATGTAGAATGCCTTTTCAGTCAACTATAGTACACGTTGGGATGGCGACAAGAACATACACACACACACATGTTAAAACACCTTGATGTCTCATGGCGTCTCACTTTTCGTCCTATATAACTTGAAATGATGAACACCACTCCAACCAAGGAGCTTGAACACTCGTGACGCAGCATGGTCCACTCTTGATGCGTTTCCAAACCCGAACACGGCGGGACCCTGATTCTCATTGATGGGCCTGTAGGACACACATGGTGTTGCCACTGATGACCACGCAATGCCACGTGCACACCACAGAACCCAATGAGATCAAGTTGATTTGGAGAAACATGGACTCAGTGGACCCTCGTTTGAGGATGAACGTTTCTACACACGAAACCGACACAGAACCCAAGGAGATCACGTTGCTTTGGATCAATGGACCTTGTTATGATGATTTCCTGGCTGTTGGCATGGCGCCAGTCACCTCCCTCGGTTTGGTCCGACCCGTTCAGGTCCGCCATCACCTCGCCAGGACGGAGGTTGGCCGCCACCAAGGGGTTCCCACAGCCCAGGCCTGCCCAGGTCGACCGGTATAGCATGGGTTGACCGCTTTTTGCAGGAGTGTAGAACTGCCTGGCTTAGGTTGGTGAAGTCATTGGAAGAGGTCTCCAAACAGCTCGCAGCCTTCCAGGCTGAAGCCTTATGAATGATCTACATCCACAACTTTTGTATATAAGGTCCGACAGCATAAACATAAAGGAAACTTGTCGGCCGCCCGTTCCGCGGCCTAAATCGGCCGACTCGTTCACATCTCCCTCCTCGTAGCCTCCGCCGAAAGGGCCATGGAAGAAGCTGCCAAAGGAGGCATCCGAACACCCCAACTTCACTCCGAATCCTTTTTAAGAACTCAAGAGTTCACCTGCTCCAACGCATTCATCGTTGCACCCAATCTTTGATGAACCGCATGAACCTGATCAAGTTCTGTTTCAAGCATTTTCAAGCTACGTTTGCATCTAGATGGAAAATCAAATCAACGAAGCCTTGGATGTCAATATTAAAAACAAAAACACAGCACAGTCACAGTTGTCGGAAACAAAAATTCCTATCATGTATGCTGAAAGCGTCGGGTGCTTGTCCTGGCATGGTGTCATGAGAGTTCCCTCCACCACCGGTGGTCCTTGCAAACCACCTATTAGATCCTATTAGTAGGTCGGCTCAATGCCGTGTTTACGCCGATGCTTTTGAAAACACCTACGAAGCAAGCAACATCAACCAGCACCACCCAGCTCGGATGGTTATTGCATGTACTTCGGAACATGCATAGTCAGGTGGGCCTATCAATCACCCCATTGAGTTTCGGAAGAAACTTGAGCTCTTAAAGCTTGAGCTCTTTTTCGCTCGCTTTTGGGCTGGAGCTCGGGGCTGTTCCCGAACTCTCCACCTCTGGGGCGGGACGGCCAAACGGCCAGCTTCCCGCCAGCTTCCCGCCGGCCGCCGCCTAGAAGTGTCCGGCGCTTCTGGATGTCTCCAACGTCGAAGGGCAGCACCTCAGCGACGGAACCCTTCGGACCCGCAGATCGTACTGTTCCACCGGAGCAGTATCGGTATCATGTGGGTCATGGCAAATAGATGAAAGGGAGGTCAATCTATCGGTGAAAAAAGGGGGGCCGGTCTTGGTGCCAAGAAGGCTAGCATGAAATCCGTATGCCAACCCTTATCAAGCATCAAAACCTCTAAAACACCAGTGCTGGTGAGCTCTTGAGGGCTGGAAAGGCTTGGAAGTTTCAACAAAATCCGTCCAATCCACTTCAACCAGCTTGCTCCATCTGCTTGCCATCCCTCTGGCAAACCGTTTCTCATGAGACTTATATAGTCCTTTGAGGCCCCGTCCTCACTGCTGCACTCAACTTGGAAAGTGGTCAATGGTCGATCTCATTTTTACTCTCGCTCTCGCTCGGGAACAACGGGTCCACAGAGGCAACCAACACATGCAACAAACGCATGGACCACCAATGTCCACAGCATCACCTGGCAAGGCCGCAGTCCCGCAGTCCCGTAGCTTCCTTTTTACGCTTTAAGCTTTGACGAGAGTGGCGAATCGATTCGCCACTAGCACAGCTGTTGGACACATGTTGGACACATGCATTCACTTTCGCGGCTGGACCGTTCCCCCTAAACCTGCCCCTTCGCGGGCGCGACATCGTCCCGTTTTCCTCCACCACGGCTACAGCGAGTTCAGTCTCCGCGCGAGCCAGCCCAAAGGCTTGCCATCGGCCCAAAGCCTTGAAGGCTGGTAAGGGCGCCACCAGAACAGGCAGCAACTCAGTATCCGGACCAAAACTGATCTCCCTGCTACATATGGTTACAGAACTTCTCAGCACAAGAAGTGAGTCAACTCTATTTGATCAAAGACCGGTGCAGGGCAGGAATTCCTACACTCCCTGAGTCCTCAGAAGCCTATTGGAGAGTCCGTCCGAAGGCCCCCCAACTCTCAAATGGACCACTAGAACCTGAGTGATCTTTGTGGATCACCAGGCACCCCAACATATGCCCTAGGGCTCCAAGTACCTCCTTAGAAGGTATTTGGAGCCTCTAAACCCACCCCAGTCCCACCTTCTCAGAAGGTACGACTGGAGCCCTAGGGATGATCTTTTCCTATCAAAACGGCCATACCGGTCATACCGTCCGGGTCCCGGAGCGCTGGAGCCCCAGTCGTACAGGGGCTCTCAAATGGACCTTCCCACCAGTTATATAACTCCATTCCATTCCAACCCAAGTCGAAGTGATCCTCAATCTCAAATGGTTGGAGATATCACCTGGCCCAAACGAGTTCTGAGCCTATCTGAGCCTCCTTGTTCCCAACCACGAACGGATGGTCGATCACACGCATTGCCTGAAACCGTCGAAACCGCTCCAGGTCCTACCAGTCAGGACTTCATTTGACTAGATACCCATACCAAAACACCAAAAACATCAAACAAAAACACGTTTACTCCACGAGCTGAGACTGGACCAGACTGGAGTCCCAACTGGTCACACTTGGACCTCTCAATCCAGTGTAGGGCAGGCTTCGAGTCTTGGAGACTCCGACGTCGCCCATCCGCGAGGCGGATGCCTCTCCGCTGCCTTTCTGTGAGTTGGATGGATGGATGACCCCCGTTGTTCTCCCGTTTCGGGCACACCTCTCCCGGCGAAACCGAACACACACCAGCTGCTTGCCTCCCAGCCGCTCGGGCACCTTCGGAAACACCAAATAGCTTGGCTCCCGCGTCACCAGCAGCTCGCCCTCGCTCTCCCCACGTGCACTGTAGGCAGCGCCCGAAGGCACTGGCTGAAAGTTGTAGGCACCATAAGGAGGCAACCAACGGAAGCCGCGCCTATCGAGGCGGAAGATCTCCTGAGAACGGAGGATCCAAGTGCATCGCAAAAAAACGGATCAGGCTGTGGGCCCCACGCGCTGTTCTTTCTATATATGGGGCTTTCCAATTGTAGCGCACTGGTGGCCGAAAAAGTCGAACCTGACTAATTGGCCCCCTCTCTCTAGACCATTTATCCGACAAATGGTGAACTATGGTGAACTCCACTTCCAATTGTACGGCTAAAAATTCCGCATCCCTTCCATAGACCATCGACGCCCTTTTGTGTGCGACTCAGTTTATCTATAGGGTGGCAACAAAGGTGGTGGTGGCGCCAACCGTTTTCATGTACAGTGGCTCCAGAGTAGATGGCACAACCCCCACGATGTCTTTTGGATCTGGGGTCTATTTAGACAACCTTTCTTGGGTGCCCTTGTGCCATCTGCTCAGAAATCACTGTAATGCGCTGTTCTCTGAACCCGCTCACGTCCGTTTCTTAATGCTGCACGAAAGTCCTTGTAATGTTACATCCTAATGTGTGAACAGTCTTTTGCGAGATTAGCTTCGATTCAATACTTGTTTCTATCAGAGCGGATTGGTTTCTAACATGCACAATGATACTTTGTTCCATTTTGTTCCCAAATCCTTCAGCATCCTCCTTTTGTTGAGACCTGTGAGACAAACCATGGCCAGCTCTGACCATTATCTTCCTAGTCCTACGTGCTCGTTATACCAGTTCTGTAAAATCCTCCGGCCCAGAATTGAATGTTTGAGGGATTGGAGTGTTGTAATACTTTTTGGGGACTGGCCATGGTCCCTTCTTACGATGTTTAGCCCAGCAACCCAAAAGCCAGCAACATCATAACACTTGATCAGGCTAAACACGTATCATAGGACCCAATCTTTCATTCCAAGTCTGATTGTTGCGATGTTCGAAACCTCTCTGTTTGGAATTCCTTTATGGTCATGGTGCTTTGCACATAAGTCATCACATGTTATAACCACTGGCAGCCCCAAACCTCAACATGGTCTCCAGCTTGCCATGCGCCTGAAGGTCCTGCATAGTTGTCCGCTTTTAAGGCTCACCTGTTCCTGACCTACTTCGAGTGCTTTTGCCAGCACTGTCCCGCGACCCAGCGGCGGTGATCTCATAATGCTCCCATGCTCGCGTGGATTTGCGCTCGCTCACGAGCGGATCGGCGCAGGGATGCGTCGCCTGCGTGGGCTTCGATGGGTTCGGGATAGGCTCCAAGGGAGCTTTGCATTTGGGCGGTCCAGACTGAGTGGAGGTGGAGAAGACGCTGAATGATCCTAATGTAGACTTGTTGTTGAATCAATTCCCCCACATGAACACGTCCTACATGGCTTTACAATCCGAAGGGTTCTGTATTCATGTCGACGTGATCCCCACCTCCCACTGTGGCACTCCGGCATCCTGAGCAGCCCAACCTCCACCGCGCCCACCACTGTGAGTGCTGCCCGCACTGCCATCAGCAGTGCCGTCGCGACGCTCGCATCCGAGGCCAAGCCCGCTTCGTAGCCTCCGCGAGGATGATGGTGGAAGCACAGAACCTATACTTGATGATGGAGGTATTCCTGGGTGATGCCCTATAGTTGATGAGTATACTCGTATGGTTGAGACTCGAGACATAAGAGTTGATGATGGAGCACTAGTAGTTGTGAGTCGTGCTGGGACCGTTTGTCCCCACCCTTCGTTGCTTCTTGAGCCGAGCAACAAATCTGCGCCACAGGACCCGTGGCACCGCGGGGACCGTGGCGCAGCGCGAACTCGTCCGTCATGGCACCACCTGCGATGAGCCCTTGAGGATCCCAGAGCACCTTCCTGAGTTCATTGGATCGCAACGGATCGGATCTCCTACGCATGTTGGGCAGCCACAGGAGGGGGCAAGCCTGAAGTCATGAGAACAAGCAGGATGGTTAGCTGGCCAATGCTACAAGTACTAGCATCATATGACAACAAAGTAACAAGCTTCTGATTTTGGATCAGTTTTTTGATCATATTTTGTTTTGTTCATGTTTGGTTTTGTCTTCTAGGATGCCCAGGAAGAGGTTTAGATCCTTTCCCTGTCTGCACGCAAACAGTATCAAACCAGGTGAATGAAGTGCCTATGTGAGCTTGTTGTGTGGAACTTCTTGTAGCTCGCATCGGAGTAGCGCTGAGGACGACAAACACAGGCCCCACTACGCTATGCTCCAAGCTACCCATGTTTCCAGCACCACAGTTTCCTCTCTAGATACAAGATTTGAAGTTTGACGAAGGGGAATGAATAGCCACACCACAGCCTGACATGGGCAGCACCGAAACAGGAACACAAGGATCTCACATGAACAACATGCAAAGTCTTTGAGATGTTTGCTCGGCTACCAGGGGCTTTCTGACCTTCCTACAAACAAACAAATTAAAAACTAGTCCTGAAGTGGTCCCTGAAAAGGTCATGTGATGTTCAAAAACCTAGCATTTGGTTACAAATATATTTATGCGTCCGTCCCTTCCAGAACTGCGCAAGATGGGAGGTTAAGAAAAGAGTTCTTCAAATTACAACAACTCTCGTGTTGGTCAATACCTACCTCATGTGAATACATACAGTTACAGTTGGGGAGCCATACAGTAACTCCAGCACGTTTGATCTGGTGAACTCTCCCCCCATCATCCTTGCAAATCCATTAATGACAAAACTTGGCTCATTTACAGTTCAACGCTGCTATTCGGGCTATTCATGTAACTTGATCTTCTCCAAATGATTGGGTGGAGCTATCCCTTGGTATACACCTACCAACCAGTCGCGATGCCAAGGTGATGCCCTGAGCATGAGCCCCATTCCCCCACCTCCAAAGCCCCAGCCCCCACCCTCCCATCTCCACAGAGCGTCGAAAGAAAGCTTGCAAGGAGCGGACCTCTCAGGTTGCATAACTTAGCTACCTGGCTTTCAGCTACAGTACCTGGCTTAGCCTCCCCCCGTCACTTAGCTCGCGCACCTGGCGCCCCAGCTATGCGACAGGGCTCTGGCACGACTCCGGCAGCCACTGCAGAAAGAGTTGCTCAGCAGCTTGGAAGCGCCGCCGGCGGCCGCTGGTGCCACCTGAAGGGCTGGAAGGAAGGAACGAGCGGAGAACCCGGAGTGCCTTGAAGGTGTTTCTTAAACACATGGAATTAAAAACAACAAATACCTAGCACTTCCAATGGGTGCCCTGTCTGCACACCTGTTATGGGTTGTCCATTGGTGACCCGTTGGAAGCAGCCTGTAGTTGTCTATAAGTCATCAAATCAGACCAAAAGCCACCTTCTTTCTAGGTCACACCTCAGGTCCTAACGAAGGACCCAATCTTGGAAGCCAAAGCTCCACATGCCGAAACCTGCCGAAACCCACAGATCCCAAGCTCCACTGCCTGCGACCTTCGAGACCGACCCCCGGGAACATTCGAAAACCAGCGTCGGGTTCCGAGTCCTTCCGAACGTCACGGGCCGCGGGCACGACCGAAGCAGCCGACGGGGCGCGAAGCAGCGACCAGGGCGAACGACATGGTCCAACCAACCCCGGAGGGTGCGGCCCCGGTCGGAGGAATCAACGACAGATCCGGGTGGGAGGCCCGGATCAAAAATACACACCCACCAAGTGTGCCTCGTTCCAAGGTGCTAGGTCTGCTAGGTCCCTTAAGTCTTTCGTATGTCTACAACAAAAACACACTGAAGCTGAACTTGATGGATATGAAAATGCGCATGTATGCATGCGCTGTGGCAGGTACTGTATCTCTTTTGTAGTTGAGTCTGGTCTCCAAGGTGTTCCAGCTACCAGGACGCACAGATTCCAGCTACCACGTCAAGCACGCCTGGGAGCCGCGCAAAGGGCTCCGAGGGCTTGTTGGTGGCGTGGAGGTCCAAGAGGAGATCCTCCATTGGGAGCCACGTGGCGTGGCGCAGGTGAGGACACGCAGGGGCCCCTGTGACGCACAAAACACCATAACCGCATGGAGATTCTACATTTTTCCAAGAGTGCTGGAGTTTTTCCTTGTTGTTTTAAAACTTCCTTGCACCTTGAATATTTCAGGCAACAATTACACTAAGCTTCCAACAACCATTCTTTTAATGGCCTTTACGGAACCACCCTTCTTTACACGACGCCTCCCAGGTCAACCGAACGTCGAATCGGAAGCTGAACGGGTTCTATCGGGATCCGTTTGACGTACCGAACCTACCGGTGACACGGTGAGACTCTTGAGACGACGTAGTACGTAGGCGCTGACGAACGGGTCGGGCCCGTTGGTGGTCGTACCGAAGCGGGAACCGGTGGTTCGGTGGATCATGGGTCCGCCTGGTTGGACCATTCCACCGGTGCAACGATCCACCCCATCCACCCGAGCCCGAGCCATGGAGCTTTAGCCGATCTCCGCGCGCCAACGGGGCCGCGGAGCGGGGCTCCGTGGTTCGTATCTGCTCAGGTCTGACTGAGACCCTCCAATCGCACCTAGACCAAGCCCAGTCCCAGCAAACCTCATGTAGGGCCACTTGGAGCCCTTGGACAGAAATTCCTTCCCTAACCCGTACTAGAGCTCCAATGACCTCCGTTTCGAAGGTGGGGCTGGGGTAGGTGCCAGCGGGGACCTAACTACCTTCGGATGTGGGACAGGAGCCCAAACGGGCAACAATCCATGTACAGTATGGAATATTTAATATTTACCTATATATATATATATTTTTACCTACATTGACCCTCAAAACATCTTTGCTATCGATCCCAAATGTAGGCAACATATTCCAGTCCCATGGATTGTCTGGGTATGTCCCAACCTTCCAGGGCCCAGTGGATGATGATGGGGCCCGGGCAAGCATGATCATTGTTGAAACGACTGTTACAGCTTTTTTTTGGAACAAACCCTAAGGATACAGCAAATCTCAGAAGAACTTGTCCCGAGTCCCTGATACAGGAAGCGGTGAAACTCTTCATGCATTGCTCTTGTCACCCTTGTGAAGCATATCGAACCAGTAAAAAGCATATTCTCCATGAAGAGGATAAGGATTCACACATTGGGAAGATTAAAAAAATACAATAAAATAACATGCAAAAACGGGTCTTTCTTACACAAGGAGAAGCATTTTGGACAAACGTCATCTGCAGGTTCCTCCACTCATCTGCCAAGGCTCCAGCCCCTTTAAATGTGCTGAGATCTCTTTGGCTCTTCTCTGCTCCAGATTTTTCGCTGGGAACACATCATCGAAGCAGCGGTTCAAGTCCTCCTCGATGTACCTGGCGCAAAGATCGTGCTTCGGACGGTTGACTCCAATTGGAACCTTGGCCCATATAGTCTCCCATAGTAATAAACATTTAAAAACCATAGTCCAGGACTCCAGGACCTGCCCAATGACCTCTTTGGAGTCCCTAAGTGAACTTTTACAGGCCCAAGTGGCCTCAAACCCTAGGAGATCAAGTTGTCACTGGGAAGCTCCAGGGTCAACAACCAGAGTCAACCATAGACTCTGAAGGGAAGCTGCCACTTGGCACAGGGTGGGCCGGACAACATTGGCTTTTGGCATCACGTCACCCCAAAAGTATGAAGTTAAAAGTTGGTTTCTTTCAGTTTGATGACAACTTTAACTTATTCATGCTGAATAAATGGTTAATTGTTATTATGCATGGTTAAGTGTTATTCTTATTTTGCATCAACTTCAACTTCACGGTTTGGCGTCCGGAATTTGCAAAATTCCATTTTTTCCTTCAGCCCAACATGGTTTTGCACAGAAGCACTCTCCAGAAGTTTGCACCATGGAAAGCCAAACATCGAAAGCTTCGCAGATCTTCCTGGTTTGACGTATTAAACCTACCTCACCATGCATGAAAAAGACCGCGGCGCGCACCGTGTCGCGGACAGGCGCACCGTGTCGCTTGGGCCACCGCCGGAGGGTTCCCAATGATCAGCGTGACTTCGCCCGCGGTCTGCGGGGCCTGACGTCCGTATGGTCAGGTGTCTACGGCCTCTGAGAGGTTCAAGTGACCATCTAGGACCCGTCACCTGGGGTACCTATGGGATAGCCTAGGATATCCTAGGATGGTTAATACAATAACAATACGGGTGCGCCTGGGAGATGTGTTTTTTGGTGGTTTTGTGCAAGGTTTGGTGCTCTCCCACACCCGCCCCTCTATAAGAAGGGGTGTCCCAAAACCACCGAACGGAAGATAGTGAGGTCCTGGTGAGGTCGGGACTGGCGGACTGGGTCTTACCTCCCAGGGCCGGGTGGTCGGCCCAGGCAAGCAGGCCTAGTGGGCCTTTCTCAAACCCTAGGCCTCCAGTCGTACCTTCTGAGAAGGTGGGACTGGGGTGGGTGCCATGTTCGGGTCCAGTCATACCGAACCTGAGGAGGTACGACCGGAGGTGTAGGGAACATGATCTTTGATCGACTGTTGCAGGTCATGGGGGAAAGATACGAGCCACTAGGTCGAATACATGGAGCCAGCCGAGGGATGAAGGTAGAATACTCCGTCGGGGACCAGCTCGGTTTCCCCGATGCAGACCTGGATCTTCGATTCCTGACACCACAAATTGCCGCACCAAACAGTTTCAGGCAAAGACGTCTTTCAGATTCCTAACGTGTCCAAGCAGATTCCGGGCGTTTTGAGTGGAACTCATGGATGAAAATATCAAATGCTTGCAACCCTTAAAATTGCTACAGTGGTTTCAGAATTGATGGCACAAACCCCTGCATGTCTTTTAGAGGGGGGTCCATATAAACCCTCTTGGTGATTGTGTCACCTACTCTGAAACTACGGAAATTCCTTTAAAACAATTTTCAATATAAAATCGAAAATGGCCTCCGGTTGAAGATCCAGGTGCATTGAAGATCCAGGAATATGCAAAAAAATGGCGGCATGGCGTGATGGCGGGATCCTATACCTGCATTCGGGTGATGGCGTGATGTCTGTTCCATATCAATCAATATACCAGGAGTCACAAAGGGGTGGTGTTTGGTCCCTAAGTGAGTGGATAATGGGCACCCCTAACCTTCATTAAGCACCCCTTTGTGACTGCTGGTATATACGCCTTCCTTTTGGGGGGCAAGTAAGGCACAAAACCCTCGCCGAACTCTCAGTCCTGAAAGCCTGTGCGGTGACCCCAAAACCAAAACCCTGATTATGCGTTACGCTTTCATGGCAGTTCAAGAGTCAAAGAAGGCCAGTTGGCCAGGAGAAGCTGCATCTTCTCTCGCGGCATTGATCCATCATATTGATCCTGGATTCCTCCTCCAGGCTCCCAAAGGAAAAACAAAAACACGCATCACCCGCCCTGTTTGCGCCAGAACGCTTGGCTCAGCTCCTGCACCAGTGTCCTCACCACCTGGCCATCTCGGGAAGAAAGTGTCAACGGAGTCAAACGAAACGGAAGCAAGCGTCACGAAGAGCTCGCTCTCTCCACGTGTGAGACCGGTGTCATCCGTGGTTGTTTTATTTTCAGAGATTTATCACGTCAGGACCTGAGAGGAAGCACAGATCCAACATGACCTACATCAGACCTACATCCCCCACTTGGAGGAAGCACTTCAGGACCTACATCCTCCAAATGACCTACATTTTCCCTGCACGGATCCAGGTGCGCAAGGATCCAACCACTCGGTGATCCAAAGGTCGGTGGGCTGACTGGACTGGTCGTCGTCCGGTCGTCCTGAAGAATTCCAGTCTACAATAAGGTCCGTCTGACCCTTAGGGAAAATTGATGTGGTTTTTTGGGTGTTTATTTTAATATGTATATCTATATATATATATATGTGTGTGATTGTGTGTATATTAGTATAATATACCATATATAGGTTATATCTCAATTTATCTTTTTAATGGCATCACGTGAACTCCTTGAACTGCTTGCTGTGTGCCGGTTGACCATGTCCCTGGAGCCCCCCTCACTGGCCCGTCACTTCCGCAGGGAAGACATCACATGGCTAGGTGAAGGGCCCACCCTGCTTCGGCATGAAGATCCTCGTCCTCCAAGATCCAGTTTTCTTTCTCCATGCCATCCACAGATCTCCACAGTAATTATCCATGTGATGTGGTTGTCATGCCGCAACTGCAGCTGAAGCTGTGGCTCATTGACGGTTTCCCCAGTTGGGTCAGGCGAAGCCTGTCTATTCAAAGATCGGAGGGCATCAAACCGGAAAGCCCGATTAAAACAAATAATCAACTCTACAAGCTACCCATGGTCTGATGGTGCATGTGCTTCACCTCCATCCCGGACGGATGCCGCTTCCGTCCATTCCCAGCCGTCCTCCACGCCCGCCAGCTCGTTGCCATGCACGCCCCCCAGCACTGCCACGCGCGGCCGGCCAGCCCCGAAGCGCCACACATGGTCAGACCTGGAGATCTGCCGGGCTCAGTCGGACCCAGCTGGGGCTGTGAGTCGAAAACGGTCCAGCTTGATGGGTCCGACCTGTGGATGGGTATGAAGACGGTGGTCCGGGGCTTGTGAGTCGGTGTCATCCGTGTGATCCTTGATTGCAACACCAATACGTACTGCAAACACATGCAAAAGCCACTCTCCCCACTCCCCAAGCGGCCAGAGCATGCTTGGGGGGGGTGCTGGTGGCTGAAGCGAAGCCTTGAGTCATGTGAGAAGACCATCCAAGAGATCTATAGATGCCGCAGCCAAATATCCAACTATCGCCTGGATAGGCTGAGATCTTGGATCTAAAGATCTGTATCATCCGGTTTACAGCTACGACCATCTGACCATCTGGGTGTGGCTGGGTAGCCTTCTCATCCAGTAGTTTGAGTAGTGTGGGTAGTCCATTAGACACCCAAACAGGATGGTCCTGGTCTTTTTCCCGAATCCACATACCGAACCTGAGGTACGGTGATGTGTTCGACACTGTTTGGAGACGGCGCCAGGAGGGTCCAGTCGTACCGAACCTGAGAAGGTGGCGGTGGATCCTCCAAAGAGACCACCACCCGGGTAAACCATGGTAAACCACCTATGCATGTGTGTATTGGAATAGGAGGATCCCCCACTCCGAGCTCTGGGAATATCACAACAAACAAAATCCATTGGTTGGGAGTTGGGAGGTGACCTAGGTCACCCTATCAAAACCAGGGAGTTTCCAAACTCCTGGTGGTTGAACCAAAAGCTGTAAGTGAGTGGATCCAGGGTACCCCGACTTCCTATCCTCCATGGATAGCACAGCCCTATCCTTCGGCCTTTCCACCTCCATCAGGTTCATCGCTCTACCCACCCACCCGTTTGGCTCAGCCGCACACTGGCCAGCAAGCGGCGGCACGGGCGCATGGCGGTCGCGAAAGCCGAGACGTCACCGCGGTCGAAGAGGGGTTTCAATGTGTCCAACCCTAAGCAGGGGTCGGGACCTTCAAAGTCCTATCTCTCTCCGTCGCCTTCTCGAAGAGTTCAGCTAAGCTAAAGGCGGTGAAAATCCTATGTGTTTGAATGTTTGTCCAACCGAACGGATTCCGAATCGCCACCGCAGCGTGGGCACATTCACTGAACGGTCAACGAGAAACTCAACGGTCAGCGTGCACCATCAGCTCTAAACCTGCCCATGTGGTACAGTATCTTGTGGCCGGCAACGTTTACCAGCTGTTTGTTTTGTTGTGTTCTTCTCATGGTAATTAGGATGTATTTGGTACTAGTTATGGCGGTGGGCTACTCCACATCTCCTCAACTGCTCTTGTCAACCCCGAGCGGATTGAAGCTGAAAGCCGCGTGTCACTAGACCTTCGATTTGCAGGGCTCGAAGTCGCTGAGGCCAGACTCATGGATGCAAGTACCAAGGTGATTAATCACTATACTATACCCGGTACCCTCAGGATTGAGAACAACACATCCCTAGCAAGACGAGAACATGTTTATATTATGCTGGAAAACAAAGGTGATGATGAAGGTTGAATGTGAGTTCAGCATCCTCCTCGAACAGGACATGAGCTGATGGCTTGTTACAAACACATTCACACACACATCAACCAGCACCTGGACCAAAGCGACCTCTTCAGATCTGGTCACGGCTCGTCCAGCCACTAAGAGACTCCAAGAAAGGTCACTTATCCCTAGGGCACCTGTCCCATCTCCTCAGGTTCGGTGGTATTCGACCCCCCTGGCACCCACCTCAGTCCCATCTTCGAAACGGAGGTGGGCCAGGAGCCCAAACGGGTAAGGTCGCGGAGGTACCAGCTATGGTGCGTTGAAGTCCACGGTGTCATCCCCTGAGTGTCGGACACCAGCGCCGCCCACCTGGGAGGGAGAAGCAGAGGCTGTTTTCAAGCAAACCTTCACAGGTTCGTCAGCTCTTAGCTTATAGAACTTCGCCTACGATGACGTTACGATGAAATATGAAGCCAACAATTCAGCTCAATATGCTCTGCACTAGTTAAAGCTCTGAATGTATTCGGTACCGATGGACCGCTCCATGCCCTTTGACCCACGACGCTCCCGCTGAGAAGCGAGAGGAGTCGGCACATCAAGAAATGGATCTTCCGGGTGTTGAGTCCAAACCGTCGTGGATGTGACAAAGGTACGTACTAACCCGATTTGCTCCATTGGGAAGTAGAACATATAGCACCTCAACATGGAACTGCTGGTGTTTGATTGGCCGATGTTCAAGATCAACGGGCAGAACATGTTGCAAAGTTGCAAGATCCTATATAGTGCCTTTTTTTAACGCAGTGGATCTGATGGGCAGCCACGAGGATTCCAGCACCGTTCGGTGAAATGGAATTATGATAGAACATGAACGCAAATTCAGCAGCCTTTGCATTCGTGGCTTCACTTGGGTGTCGTCCTAAGTGCATGGACAAGAACCAGGACCTTCAAAGTGGCACGAGGTAACTTTGTTTCATGTGGACTTTTCGATCCTTTTGAGCACGCATGTATAGCATGAAATCCCCGACGCTGTTTAGTGGATCCACTTCGGGCCGATGCGCGTGTTAGAAATGGCCTCCAGCTGGCACGCACAAATCGAGAAGAGTACCTTCTAAAGCTTCACGGAAGCCCTTGTGGGAGACATTGGTGCCGCGGAGCATCGGGTCGATCAGGACCTTTTGGTTTTGAATGGTGGAAAAGGGGAATGACGGTTCCCAAAACTTCGTTCCATGTTGGGACGGACGAAGTGACTCCTTTGGGCATTTCATAGTGGAATGCAAATGGGCCTTGCAATCCTCAAAGGCCAACGAAAGAACCCTTTTGGCCGCTCGGATTGTACGAAAAGCTCTTCAATCCAACCATGCTGCACTTGTCCAACTCATGTATAAACTCCTGCCAGAGGAGTTTAAAGCTGAGAAAGATGTTGCCAAACTCATCAAATACCTCGAAGAAAGCCCACTCAACAAACAACCTCTTCCAGATGCCGGATCCAAAATCGGAGGTTACTATCGCAGGTTGAGCCGAAGACCTCATGAGGGAGTCAGCGCCTTCCTCATCCGAGAGGACAAACTTCATGATGACATGGTCCGTGCATTGCAACGGCTACTCCGTGAGAAGGAGCTGACCTTTGAAGACTATGACGTGGATGTGGAGGAGCTTCGACGCTTTTGTGGCTTCAGCCCAGGTCAGTCACTATATTATGGAGAACCTGAAGGCGATGATCCGGAAGAAGGAGAAGTACCCGAAGGGGCGACCGATGAAGAAGAAAGGACTGAAACACCTCGGGAATCACATCCGGGGAGACCCTTCAGTTCGAAGGGATCGACCAAAGGAAGATCAAGTCATGCTTCATCATCGAGGAGTTCGACGACATCCCAAGGCGATGAAGCGAAGCGCGGCAAGGACCTTCTTGAAAGACTCATGGAAAAGGGTCTCATGCCGCTGGCCGCCCTTGACGTCATCAGGGGATGGTTGGTCTTGGAAATGGCAGTATCATCTGAAGATGATCGAAGACTCATCAAGGCCGCCACCAGGAACCGACTGGCCTATAGCGAAATCCGACAAGCCCTCCTTGGCCTGTTCGAAGAACGTCTTCAAGGCAAAGGCTCTGGAAAAGTTCCAGGTCATGGCGGACTTCGTTCGAATGGCTCTCAACGAGCCTACTACCAAGACTTTGAGACGGAAGAGACCTATGACCAGAACGCCGAGCACTATGGTTTCTACTCTGAGGAGCCCTACGGCCAGGACTACATCACCGAGAATGACGAGGAGTGGCAAGGTGAAGAAAACTATGAGGCTGAAGAGTGGGAGAACGAAGAAGAGATGGATGAAGAACTCCTTCGACTTCATCAAGAACAAGAGGAGCACGAGAAGAACAAAATGGAGTTGGAAGCATTGCTTGGTGAGACCGACCGGAACCTCATCGAGGCCAGAAAAGCAGTGGCAGCCGCCCACAAGGATCGCGGCTGGACAGGAACAGCCCAACAACGGCAACCACGGTCAACAACGACCTATCCATGGAAGGGAAATCCAAAAGGCCGTGGAAAAGGAAAACCTCAGCACCTTGGAAAAGCCCGTACCCAGGAAGGCAACTGGGTTCAGGGCGGAAAAGGAAAGACAAAGTTCACCTACGGCAACAACTACAGCAAGGGCAAGGGCAAGCACACGAAAGGCAAAGGCTATGGTTCGAACTACAGTATGGGCATGATGGAAGTGGAAGAAGAATTCGATGATCAAGGCATGTATCCTTTGATGATGGCAGCAACGCCAGCTTCGAGGGAACCTTGCAAGCAATCACGGTTGCCACCACACCAATCCTTGGTGGACACCGGAGCTACTGCTACTGCCGGCGGAAAGCAAGCCGTGCAGGATTTGTGCAAAGCACTTGTCTCGTCACGACCAAACCTTGAGGTCACCGTGTTTGAAACAGCGCGACCATGGTTTCGATTCGGAAATGGCAAGTGGGGCAGAGCTTTGTACAAGGTCACCCTCAAGGACCCCTTCACAGAGGTTTCCATGTCCATCTATGCACTTCCAGCTGTTGATGTACCAGTTCTCACCGGTATGAAAGAACTTCAGCATCTCAACTGTGTCATCAACTGCACCACCGGGGCATGCATCATTCAAGGACGACCCATGACTTTGCAGAAGAATAGTAAGGAGCACCTCATCATTGACTACAAGGAACATATATTCCCTGAACACCACCATGATTTTGAGCCCAATGCCGGAAACCACGTTTCGACAACCTCTTCCAAATCGCCTTCGCGGAGGGTGCATTTTTGTGATGTTGAAGAGTGTCATGTCTTAGACATTTTCACTTTGGATGTCATGGACTTTGAAGTCATGAACACGGAAGAGCATGTTGTCTTGGAGTGTTTTACCTTTGAAGCTGCTTCTCACAATTTGGCAAGTCATTTGGGAGTGACTCAACCTCTTTTGCAGCATCTCATGCCCACAGCAAGCGACGCGACGACACTCACCGATCCTTCTCCAGCTCTACGACATGGCGGAGCTGCCGCTGAAGGAAGAAATTCGAAAAGCCGTGCGGGAGGTGGTCCAGGAAGAGATTCAACAAGCCACCAAAGAAGCAAAAGCGGAGATCAAAAGCACGGCG